CAGACATATGATGATGCCAGCAATATGTCTGGTAAATATATTGGCATGCAACAAATCCTGAAAAACAAAAACAGTTCAGTGGACTACATTCCTTGTGCTGCCCACTCGTTGAACCTAGTTGGCCAGTCAGCTGTGGGTTGTTGCGTTGAAGCAGTTTCATTTTTTAACATATTGAATTGCCTGTATACTTTCTTTGTAGCATCAACAGTGTTCAAGGGGTACCACCAATTACAAAGTGCTCTTCAGGAGATCTCAGGGAATTGTAATCAGAATGGTTGCACAAGGAATAAAGCGGGTTAATTGACCAAACACATGGATACAATTGAAGTTGCCCTATTGTGTGAACTTTGGAATGACGTTCTGCAGAGGTTCAACATTAATAGCAAGTTATTGCAAAGTTCTACAATCGAATTAACTCCAGCTATTGGTCTGCTGAAGAGCTTGTATATATTTTTGGATGAATGCCGAGAGAAGTTTGATGATTATAATCAGAAGGCAGGTGATCGCAGTGGCAACAGCACATATAAATCTGAAAGTTGAAGACAACCAAAGCGTAAGACAACCAAAGCGTAAGAAATCAATGATGGAGATGCCGCAGATGCTATGGAAGGGATGTCAAGCCAGCAAAACTTCAAGTTCAATACCTTCTATGTCATCATCGATCAGCTGAAAAATGTATTTAAAAAAAGCATTAAAGCTTACTCAATTGTGCTGCAGAGATTTGGAGTTCTTACTGAGTATGACTCCATGACCGATAAAGATATTGACATTGCTGTTAAAGGAATGGTTACTGTGTACTCGAAAGACCTTTGTTCTAATTTTTCAACAGAATTTCGACAATTTATGTGCTGGTATAAAGAACAGAGAAACTATGAAGAAGGATCAAGAGCACAGAATCAAGTTGATTCAAGTTCTCAGAAGATGTTTAAAATGCTGCACAATTCTGGTGTATATCAAGCATTTCCAGATACTGAAATAGTACTCTGGATCTACTTATGTCTGATGTCAACCAATTGTTCAGGAGAACGTTTGTTTTCTCAATTGAATAGAATTAAAGATGCAAAACGATAAGCAATGGCTCAACAGCGTCTTTTTGTACTTTCACTTCTGTGCATTGAAAGTGATTTGCTTAACAAGGTCAACTTCAAAGAACTAATTGACAAATTTGCAGTTATAAAAGCGCAAAAAATTTAAATAATGTAGTTTTTGCCTAATAAATATTCTTTTTTTAAATTTTACTTTACTCCTTTTTGTGGGAAAGTCCGTATTATCTGTATTTTCAGGCCACTTAGGGCCAACAAAGCCTTAATCCGGCACTGAATTTAGCTAGTTTCCATTTCAGCTCTAATGGTATCTGGTAGCTATATGGTAAAATATGTTATACTTTGAATAAACTCTTCAAAAAATTTCAAAAGCTTGTAACTTATCTAATACAGATGCTTTTGGACAAGTTATTGATGCTTTAATACAGATGCTTTTGGACGTAAACGTATTAACGTTTTGTTATTTCAGAAAGAAAGAAAATTGTACGCCTAAATTCTGACCAAATTCGATTGCTACCTAATTTTTGATGACAAAACTTATATCATATTAGACTTTAAACAAATACCTGGTCACGCAGTGGTCGGAAATGCTTGAAAATGCAAATTAATTAATTTTCCTCGTCTAACACATAAAACTAGCAAAATTTAAAGCACTTTTTAGAAAAGAAATATTGTATACTTCAAAAAATAATTTAATTTACCCAATTAAACTCAAAAATGAATAAAATTTGACAAGAATAAAAAAGTTTAGTAACGCATGAGCTCACAAAATGTTTTTGAAATATTAAATTGAAAAAACGCTCACTTTTGATTTTGTAAATAATTTCTTTTTAAAAATTATTTCTATCCTCAATAAATTAATCAGAATCACCATTATCAAATGATTTTAGTTCGATTCAACACACTCAAGTAAGTCATTAATACTTGCTGGCATTTTCTTCTTTTTGTTTATCTTTATTATTTTGAAACACAAGGTTTTTGAACCTTTGGATTGCTCAGATCGGTGAGCCTGTGGAACATATCAACTATATCTTGAGCCTGAAGCCTTCCTGGTATGATGCAATTGAAATTTTCTTAAAAACTTGTAAATAGCTTCCGATGTCTCTTCATTTACCAGTCTAATCATCAATCAATGCTGCTGTCAATCAATCCATGTTTAAATATTTTGTGAAGTGTTAAAGGTAAAAAATACCAATCACAGCTATCCTCATGATAAAAATAAACAGTTCTTTGCAAAGCTCAGCAAACATAGTTGGCAAATCCACTTGTCAGTGTTCCCCAAATGGTTGCAAGGTTTTCAACAAGTTTAACAGAGGCGTTGCAAATATCTGCTGTAATTGCAGGGTTGTCAAAGGCGATTCTGGCAAAATTACCAGTAAAAGTATTTTTAGCACCACCATCTCTTTTTTTATCAACAACGATTTCCAATATTTCAACAAACTGAGCCTTTAGTTAAATGCTCCTGCACAGGAGTAAAGTCTCCATCTGGCTTGGTAAATTTTCCACAAGAATTATGGCATATGGAGCATAATAATGACCATTTTTTATTTGAATTAATTTAGGTTTCTTTTTTTGAAGAAAACATCTGAAAGGAATTTTTTCTCAGACATAAATTATATTCTAATATGTAATCTTAAATTTCTTAAGACTAAAATGAATGTATAAACAAAGTTCTTTAGCCAAAAATATTACACAAAAAGTAGAAATTGAGGCAGATGACATTTTGCAGCATTTTTTGAAAAAACTATTAGTTAAGGACATTTAAAACTTACCTTTAATTCACGAATAGGTTGTCTCTAATAAAAATAAAAATATAGATTTTTAGTTTTACTCATTAATGCACTAAAAAATGACAAATCAAGTTTTATGAAAAAACACTCATTTCTTTTAACGTCTAGTTTAGACCCCAGATGGCACAGTATGTTTAAAATACTATTTTGATTGATTAAAAACTTTACTATTTTTAAACTTTATCCTTTTATAGCTAAAAATTCCAGCTTTCGAATGAGTACCTATATTTTGTTATTTAATGTCTAATAAAGGTGGTACTATATTAAAACTTAATTGAGCTTAATTAAATTAAGCTCAATTAATTTTTAATATAGTAAAAATAAAAAAATAAAAATTTATTTTATTTTTTCAAAAATATTTTACCCCGAAAAAAGCGCGGCATTCTTCTTACATTTGTGCGTCACTAGCACAAGTCTTTTAATACAAAAAGGGGTATGAAGAGAGGTAAAGGTTTTACCACAAATGTAAACAGGTAAATCGATACTTTGGAAGTAATTTTAACTAGGACAGAGACCAGAAAGTGAAACGTTACAAACTAAATTTAAAAAAACTGGTGCTCTTCTAATCTCGAATATTGTGAAATAGACTCAACACCTTAAGTATTTAAGATTTAAAAATTGGGAAAATAATCTTGACTTATCATTAACACAGTTTTCAGTAGTCTCTACCCGGGCTCTTTTGAAATTATAAAATTTAATAATTCAGAGACCTACGTAGAAATTATGTTGCGCATACCTTTTTAGAGGTAAAATTGTTTTTGAATTAAAATCAAATGTGTTATTTAAAAATAGCAATTTTTAATGTTTGATTTAGCAAGCAGTTTGTCGCTGTGGGAAAAAATCCAAGCTTTGTAACCTCAAAGACGATATACTGCGAACTTTACAAGAAAGAGTGCCAGAAAAAATATCTTCTACCTTTTATACAATTTCTTAATGTTTATGTAAGATTTTGACCTGATTTAGTGAACTATGTTAACAACTATAAAAAGCCAAAAGTTGAAAGGTATTAAGCAAAAAGATCGTAGTCTTGCTCGAAAGGAGATCAAAACATTTTATTATATCAAATAGATTAATGAGAACTCTACATGTAAAAGCAATCAATAAGTATATATTTCGTAAATTTAACGCTAATAAAGTTGAGCCAATGTTATTGTGGCTATGCTTTAGTATGAATGTGCGTTGTTGCCTTCTGTAATTTAAACATGGCAGATATTTTATAAAATTAAATTTTAGTCCTGGAGTAAGTCAACGAAGTCACTAAATTCCGTCACTTTTTTTTTTACCCCGATTTTGGTTCATTATATTAGTCTATTAATTAATAATTCATGCAAAAATCTGTTCCGCTCCTATAATAGAATACCTAATACCTTACAAGAATAGCTAGAATACCTTACTTAGAATACCTATAATACCTTACAACCTTACTTCCTATAATAGAATACCTATAATACCTTACAAGAATAAATATAAATTCTAAAATAATAGACCAACCTTACAAGAATAGATATAAATTCTAGAATAATAGACCAACCTTACAAGAATAGATATAAATTCTAGAATAATAGACCAACCTTACAAGAATAAGTATGCAAAAAAGATTGAGTACATCTTAAGACACAATGGCCGGGGGTCTTTCAATGCTTTTATGGATTTGGAACCTGCTACAGGTGCCATTTTACCCCTTAAAAAATAAATGTTTTAATCAGACAATTTTGATATTTACTTAATTTATAAGAAGTTAAATTTATAAAATAATATTAATTACTCCAAAAAAAAAATCATAGCGGGTTTCCACAACACACTCTCATCCATTTTTAGTATAAGAGTATAAATGTGTAATTATTTGTTTTTAAAAGTACGATACAAATAAGAAGATAAAATTCTAACATTAAATAATAAATATAAAGCTTTCTGCTGTAAAAATATGCATCAACACCAACAGCAAAATGTTTATGAGTCATAAATCCCTAATAAAATGCATTATAAATAAATGAAAACTTTACAAGTTTATATACCATTATGTTGGAGTTATCGCCAAACACACAAAAAAGTAAAAATAAATAGGAAAAAAGGTTCATAAAATGTATGTTTCGTTAAAAAAACACGATAGAAATACGAAATTAGGAAACTATGAATAAGCAAAAGCAAAAACAACAACAGTAACAAATAATAATAAAAAAATACTATATAGAAACCATGAAACATTACAAAAACGCATCTGCATTTTGACGGGGATCTTTTTGATTTCGGTAACGAACAGTTAAATAAACAGCCAAGAGCTAAAAAAAAAATTCGCTTCTTTCAATAAGTTGCTACAATTTTTATAAAACTGAATTTTTATTTAATAAAACTAAAATTAATTATAAACAGTGATAAATATTTTATAGTTATAACTTCACAAAATATTTGTTAATATTTATTCACTGAAATAATGATAAAATGAATTTTACTGGTCTGGACAGCTAGTCTTATTAATAGTCCTCTGGATAATCTTTCCTCCATAGTGGTCCTATTTGCTGATGAAAAAAATGATACATCTAGCTTTGATAAAAAGTCATTAATCTTTGATCGCTTAGAGCAGGCAGCCAATATTGAATCTAATCTCTAATTAGTGACAATTTAGAGCTGGCAGTGGCTCATGAATTTTAAATCAAACAAAGCAAAATGTTTTTACTGCTAATAATTATTTCAATAATTATTTCTATTATTATTTTATTACTTCTATTTATTATTTGTATATTGATGAACTCGTACTGAATCCTCTTCTGAACATTTTTTCAGATTATCAATTAATACTTCTTTTGGAAACCATTATATTTGATCTATTGAAAAGTTAACATTTGCGAAGGTGGTCTCACTTGATCGTGCTTGCCATTTCTTTAATCTTGACTCTATTCTCTACGTATATAAACCTCTTAATCAGCATTGTTTTAATAATGTTAACATTTTTGCTATCATCACCTGTTCCACCAAAAATCAATTATGCATGACTCATTTTTCTACTAAGTCATATCTTCTCATATGTTCTTTTGTGCTAAAAAAAACTTTGATTCGTATGGTTTTCCTTGTACACCGCTTTGGAATTCTAAGCCATTTTCAAGTTTTCCTGACTTATACAACTTATAGCTTTTTAAGTCTTGCCTCCACTTTTTTGTTCTTTATTTTTTTACTCTCTTTGTTTTTTGATAACTTGCAACTTGATTAGTGCTTGCATATTTGCTAATAAATTTTGTTTTATTAAATTTTAGTTAAATTATTTCAAGATTAATCGTTATATAAATACTGCTATATACAACTGTTATATACAATAATTAATAAAGTACATAGTTATTTTAGTATTAATTTCCTACTATAAAATAATAAACAATTTATTAACTTATTAGCTAGTAGTCACAACAAATAAAGTTAAGAAACAAAGAATCATTATTTTAACTAAACGTAATTGGTCAAGAGGCTCTAACTTAGCAGTCTATCTGCTAAGCTTGAGCCTCTTTCCCATAATCAAAAAATTGCATCTTTTTCTCTTTTCTACAAATACTATCATGGTTACTGCTCAAAGGAGCTATCACCTTTAGTTCCATTAACTAAAATTCATTCTTGCTTGATTCATTGTTCAGCAAAGTCTCATTTATTTACTGTATCTGTTCCTGTATGCTCTAAAAACTTTTATTTGTCTAGTTTTTTTCCCCGTTGTGTTCAATGCTTTGGAACTCTCTTCCATCTTCATATTTTCTCGACTCATACAACCTACAACTTTTCAAGTCTTCTGTCAACCATTTTGTCAACCAACTTGTTCTATAACTAATAATTTTATAATTCTTTTTATTTCTAGTAACTCCCAAAATAATAGTGGTTGTTTGCAGCCTTGTTGGGAATGAATCAGAATTTAAAAAAAAAAAACTTTTCATAAAAAAATATAGATTCCTTATCTACCACTCTGCACAAATTGATTTTAAGTCGTAATCTTCATAATTTTTAACTGTGATTTTAAACTGTGATTTTTAACTGTGATTTTGCCTCAAGAAAAATTGCGCTATTTTTGATGTTCTGCTTTGAGATAAAGAAAAAAAATTATTAATATTTTTATATCTAATATTGAGTTCAACAACAAATGGAGTAATGATAAATGTTATTGCTAAAGATGTATATATGCTTCATTAAATGATTTGTACAAGAAAGTTGATCATATGCAAACAGCGTTTCACTGTTGATCAATATTATATTTGTATGAAATTAATAATTTATAAAATAATAATAAAAATTATTATTTAATACTATTTTTACTACTAATATTATATTTAAAAAAAAAAAAAAAAAAAAATTACAATGTTTTAGCAAATTAAATTTAGCAAATATCAATGATATATCATTGATATTTGCTAAATTTATCATTGTTATTTGATAAATTTAATTATGACAATTTTCCTAAATAATAAAATAAATTATATAAGATTATTACAATTGTTATTTTTATTATTTTTCATATATAATATTAGTAGCAATAATTCATAAAGCTTTAAAATTCATAAAAATAGTTCATAAAACTAATTCACTCCTTCAGTTCACAAAATATGTTGCATAGTCAGATGTTGCAGCGTCTTTGCCCTTACACAGAAAACACATTACATATTTTACCCAGAAAACCAAGAAACTCAAACTTTCAAGAAATTTCTAGAACCTCCTAGAAATTGTCCAAAAGTAGATGCAAAAGAATAAAAAAAGCAAAAGTGATTCAAAAAACAAAAGTTATAATAACCACCATCTCAGTACATGTTATTAAGGAATGAATCACATTAGAAGAGTAATTATATAGTTTGATTGGTAGTGTAAAGACAATTTATAATAAAAAAATTGAAAAAGTATTCCGAAGTAGCAAGTCATAAAATGTGTGAAGCCTACAAGAGAGACTTCTGCATGCCTTAAGCTTAATAATTGTTTCTCACTTAGATATTCTTTATTTTGTAAAATTTGAATAATTATAATTTGTTGCAAAAAGTTGCAATTGCCAAAAGTCTATATATGAGTGTACTACAGACAAAGTTTCTATATATAAGTGTACTATTTATACATTTCTTGTATTCTAATATTATACCCAGTATCAAGTGATGTGTGAAATTATCTTCTTTCATAATTAGTTTCAGATTGCTACTTAGAGGTTGGTACAAAGGTTGGCACTTACAGACTGGTACAGAAGAAAAATGAGAGCGGTAACGTTTGGTATCTCACAAATTTAGTAATAACCAATGCGTCACTCAAACAACTCCTATTTCTGCATAATTCACAAAACGTCCCTGAGGCACAAATGCAACTAAAATCATTCAGGGGTCATCCATAAATTACGTCACACTTGTAGGGGGGGGGGGAGAGGGTTAGGCGATTTTGTGACAATTTGTTATGAGGTGGAGGGGGAAGGTCTCAATTTTGTGACGCAAAATTATTTTTTTTTTAGAGAAGACTTTCTTTTAATTAAAAGAATATCTGACCAAACCAAAACCCTCAGTCGATGTATCTACATTTTGATTGTAAAATCAACTACGCCTAAATCTTACTTAGTCAATGTGTACACTCCGTTAACAGAGTAGTTACAGCTTGTTAACGGACTGTTACGGCTGCATGTGCAGTGCACGTTCTGCGCTTTTAATTTATATGGCTCAAGTGCAGAACTTTATTTAGTTGGTTCACAAAAGTGTGCAGCAGCAGCAGCAGCAAAAAAAAATCTTTGTGCACTAACTAAAAAGAAAGTAATCTCGTACTGAGAGACGAACCCGGAATCCTTGGTTTACAAGCTGGAGACATAATCCACACAACTACATTTGCGTTACTATATGAAAGAAAATTGTATTTATATAAATAATATTTTTGCATGTATAATAAATTATTATTTATTACATATTATATATATAATATTTAGCATATATTATATATTGGCAGAATAGATTTTTAAAATTGGTATGATGTTTAGAATAGCGATGTTAATTTATAGAATTTTACACGGAACTATTGGGGTGAAAAAAAAACATTAAACAGACTGAAAAGTACTAATTAATTAACTCAAAGAAGCTCAGAGAATTATAGAATTTTATTATATTCAAAGTTGCTTTGTATTTTGTAAAATTTTGCAACCTTCCCTCGCTTCCCTAAAAGGACTTTTAGGGGAATTTTTTTAGGGGGGGGGGGGGCGGAGGGTACAAAATTGTTGCATAATATTGGGGGAGGGGGTTAATAAAGTGTTATGGATGTGTCAATAAAGTATTACGACCCCTTATTCAGACATTCCTTTGTCCATTGCTCTAATACCGCATAATCTCAAACTAATCTCCCTATAACATGGATCAGCCATCTTAAAGAGAAAACAGCAAATCTAACAGCAATGAAGATATTGGAGGAATAAATTACAGTTTCACAGGTATATCAAAATCTAATTAGAGACCTAAGCTTTACAAAGTTAAATGTTAAGCCTCTGATGCCCAGGCTCAAAAAATAGAATTTTGGAAAAAAATTTTAAATCACATATCAGGGAAATTTTCCAACTTCTTCAGTCAGAAAGATATGTTATGCGTCTTCAAGAATGTTACCAGAGACTATTGATATCATTTGTAAGCCATATGAATGGTGCCTATTATTAAACAGTTGAGGCTTTGCGTTATATATATTGAGCATTGTGTTGTATAGGGAAATCCAGGTTTTTAATATAAGTTAAGAGCTCCAACTCCAAAAATAATTTTTTTTTTTTTACAAATTTGTTCCAACAAAGCTGCAAGCAATAAAAAATTAAATTTAGAATTACAAAAAATAAGAAAATGACGTAAAAAAAAAAACTTTTGTTAAACCATCTGAACTAAGCTCAGGTTTGTCTCTTAACTTATTGTGTCTTTTAATCTCTTTGATGAATTTAGAAGCTTTTTTTACAAAGTTTACATTGAAAACCTAGCACTTCACTTGAAATTTCAAAAACTTTTTATTTACTTCCTTGCTAAAATCAAAGACTTTACTTCAAAAACTAACATTAAAAAATGTATGCATGTATGTATGTATGTATGTATGTATATATATATATATATATATATATATATATATATATATATATATATATATATATATATATATATATATATATATATATATATATATATATATATATATATTGTTTAAATTAATAAATCCTAAAATTTCTACTTTATTATTTGCCATAAAAGAGTATTTTCAGGATAAGCAAGTCGCATAAATCTATTTCAATTTAAAAATCAAAATTGTTATATGAATTCATAACATCTACTTTTATTTTATATATTTTTTTCTTGAAACATTTTAACCAACATTTTAAGAAGTTAATATTTTTTATGTATTCAGTTTAAATATTGAATCACATACCAATGAGAAAGAGAAAAATAATCCAACTCCACCAGACACAGTAAGAGCTTTATCGAGTAGTTCCTGATATTCATCATAACAAGCAGGACAACTAACATTGCTGCCATTTTTATTACAAGCATCAATCTAAACAAAAAAATATTTATAAGTAAAAATAATTACTGTACTTAATTCGAACTTCATTAATATGTAAATTAGAAACAACATTTGAGCAAAAGTAATAAAACTGTACAAAGATATCAAAAAATATTATTTATTTTCCGTTTAAATTTCATATGCAATAACAAAGTACATAGAAACAAATAGTAACAAAAATAACAAATTATATAATTACATAGTTGCATTCACTAATATCTCTTTCTTTTGTAAAAAGTCCACAGCAGCCTAGTTTTTTTTCTACAACCAGTCGCTGGCTTTCACTCATATTCCATGCTGTTTTAATAAGAATCGTTTGCTGCTCTCGAGTAACTGCTAAAGCAGCAACAGAGAAAGCAATAAGGAATATAAACATCAGGCTCATAACCACCATGTACTGATCAAAATGTCAAGGGTTAACAAAACAAAAATTATAGTAACAGAAATAAAATAATTGCATTTAAAAATCAGTGCTGGTGAGCCATGAATAGTTTTTACACTTATCCATGCATATATTAAAAATTGTACTCATAACTTTAAAGTTAAAAATAAAATATTTATAGATACTTTCTCTAAATAACAGATTTATATTATTAAATATATCTGTTATTTGGAGGATTAATCTAAAACCATAGTAAACCTAGAAATAAATGAAAGCTAAGATAACATTGAAAAAAAATTTAATAAAAAATATAATAGAAATAATAAAGTGAATCTTTGGAGAAACAGTTTTTTTTTTTTTTCTACACTAGGTATCAACTAGAAATAAAATCAAAAACATTCATACAAACGTAAATGTTAAAGTAATAAACTATAATTTATATTAATTACGTTTTATTAATGTTTATTGATTTTTTAAAATGCTCATTGCTTTTCTTTACTTTTTCAAAGATTTTAATAAAATCTCTATGGAAAAGATACAAAAAACAATAGTACTTGGTTATGTCTAATTGCTCCAACAAGTCCAAGGACTGCAATTAAAAGAATAAATACACCACATGCTATCACTCCAGTTAAAGCAGGAACAGATACAAGGAAAGCAGTTTTTTTTCCATATGCTGCAATGCCAATCAATACTAATCCTAAAAACTGAAATAAAGATTTTAATTAGTAAACTCAAAATCATAAACTCATAATTATTATAAGTAATCAAAACCATTATAAACATTTTTTCATTAACCCTGGCTTAACAGAACATTATTTGGCAATATTTTGATTCTTTAAGGTGCGCATCAAATTTTTTTTGTGAAAGTTTCTTGAATTATTTAATCCAAAGTTTAGAGGAGTTAAATTTAATTAACTTTAGAAAATTAACTCTAATAGCAGTTTTCTAATTAGAACTCAACTACAAAAAGTAGAAATTAAAATATCTATAGAGAATATAGAGAAAATACTTTCCATAAATATTTTCATTTTTGAAAACTAGGTATTGGACACCTTTTTTTTGAACACCTAACTTCAGTGAGGACTTTAATAAACAAGACTACTCTACAGAGAAACATGATAGGGGTTGAACTCAGTAGCTCTTGCTAATGAAGTGTCACTCAACGATCAACATAAACTATCATAAGATGAGTAGATTAGCATCTCTTTCTAGATGTTGCGGCATCTCTTACAGATCTGCATTATTAAATAAAGTCTAATTAAGCCTCTAAATTTAACCTTTTTCAAATCTGGCCCTGGGTAAATAATTTAATTGCATTGGGGTTACTAGTCCAAGCTAGTGATTTTTTGAACTAAAAAATGTATTTCCTAGAAATTTCTGAGGAAAAATTAATTAAATAAATATACAAACACAAGAGCACCAGCTGCAACTAAATTCTAATAACAAAACAACATTTGCTATTTTTTTCTAAATTTGTATGTATATACAAAATTTGTTTTTGTATGTGCATACTTGTTAGGTTTATATGCTGCATTTATAGCTATTGCCAATCTGTCTTTATTTTTTCTAACTATTAAACAATCATTTTCTTCAGAGGATTCACTTTTAATTTCAATATTAACATCTTCAATGAATAATTTATTAAATAAGCCATTCATATAACAAATAATTGCAACTTTTGATGATGAAGGTAGCGCAAGAGTTGCAGTTGAATACAAATTGAGCAATTTAAGCTATTTAATCAAAGTCTTGGTTTCTTCACTCTTTAACATGAATAAACAGAGCTTGTAACACCTCCTTTGAAATTGCATCATTATTATCACATAGTGAATTTGCATCATGTTTACCTAATGCCTCTACAGCTATATTGATTGGTTAAAGAGCGTTCAAAACATTTTTGAAAACTGAAACTTAAATATCGCCAAACAGCTCTAAAGAATTTAACTTATTTTATACTTTTTTCGATGAGTCCATCACTTTTAGAAATCTTTCAACCATTGTCACAATCCTGTTCCATCTGGTCTGGAAATCTAGCAGTTCTGTGCTCTACTTTTACACGGTCTTGTAAAATTTCTTTTTGGCACAAGTTTAAAAAAAAACTTTATTTTTTTAATCGTTTGTAAAGTCGCATTTATATCATCACTTTTTTTCATCAAATTTATATAATTACTTTCACATATATAGTGTTTGAAATCTAAAAGTGATAAACAAAATTTTTTGTTTATCACTTATAGATTCAAAAGAGTTGTCACTGGAAAAACTAGAATCATTTTCTAAATAATCAAAGTGATAAACTTTACAATTTTCATTTCTTGAATAATAAATTTAATTATAAAATTAAAAGAATAATGTGTTTTGTATTTTAAATAATGACTTTATATGTTTGGTTTGAACCACGTTTTGCAAGCCACTAGTCCTTCCAGTACATGTGACCTGCTATGCGGGTCATAACAATAGTCTTTGCTAAAAAGTTATAATTTGACTTTTACATTTTTTAATATTATAGACAACATTTAATGCTATATCATACACATTTTATAGCTTAATATATTTTTATTTTGAATAAATAATTATCCTAATATAATAAAATGAATACACAAGTAATTCTTTGATTTAAATTTTTCCAAGGAAATTACGATAATTTTCCAAGTTAACAGGAAATGAGAAATATAAAAAATTCTAGAGAAGAACCCTCTAGTCTTAACAGTATTTAAATGCTTTTTAAATAAAAATGCTGTTATAATTATTACAAATATGTTATGCAAAATAAATAAGTTTTATTAAACTTATTTATTTTGTTTATTTAATTGAGGTGAGAGGTTTTGTTCTTGAATTATCAAAGACTTTCAATAGTTTGGCATGCTGGTCTTTTTTTTTTAATATTGATTCACTCCCAACAAGGCTGAGAGCAACCACTAGTTAGGAGTTACTAGAAAAAAAAAAGAGAATAGAGTTAAAGAGCAAGTAAACGGCTGACAGAACACTTGAAAAGCTGAAGGTTGTAGAAGGCAGGAAAATTTGAAGATGGGTGAAAGTTCCAAAGAGTTGAAGTGCAGAGAAAAAAAATAGATGAATAAAAGCTTTTAGAGCATGCAGGGACAGATACAGTAAATGAATGAGAGTTTGCTGAATTACGAGTCAAACAAAAATAAGTTTTGGTTGATGATACTAGAGATGATAGCTCCTATAAGCTGTGGACATGATAGTATTTATAGAAAAAAGAAAGAGATATTGATACAAGGGCGAATAAGAAATTTGTAAAGGTAGAGAATAGAATCAGTCATTCCTTAAAAGTATTAAAGTCATTTTGGATGAAAAAGATTTTTTTAAATTTGTAGTAGTAACTTTTAACCCAAACACAACTCAGTGAATGGCAACACTCATTTTTTTTAGAGGCAGCTGCAGTTTTTATTAACAGGGGTATTACAATCAAAAAAGCAATTTTTTTTTTCTCCTAACTTTATTTGTAACTCCAAAACTTTAAAATACAAACCTTGTTAAAAAAGGTTTCTTCATTCAGCAAAGTTATATTTTTTTATTATAACTGTTTCTTTGTTCTCAAAAAAACATAATTTAAAAATTAATCTATTTTTTTTCCTCAAACATTGGTGTTTTGGAACTTATTTCTTGTCTTTATATTTTCCTGAACCATTACAATTTACAATTTTTGAAAACTTATGTAAGCCATTTTCTTGCTTTTTAACTCTATTTTCTGCTTACTTCTGATTTAAATAGTGGTTACTTGGAGTCTTGTTGATTGTAAAAAAAAACTCATGAGCAATTGCAATTGTTTTCAGTACACCAAAAAAATAATTAACAAAATAAATTGAGGCATCAGATCACTCTGTTTTTCCTGTAACCCTTAGAACTATTATTCCAATTTTTAGCAGACAACACAATTTTAGGGTGAAAAAAGAGAAGAAATGGAATTAAAAAAGCAAAATGGAATGTTTTAGTAAGATAAAAAAAAAAGTTTGAATCAGTTAGGAAATATGATTGGATCAATAGGTAGAGGTAAAATGAAATCAAGGACAAGATCTTGAAGATCAGAGAACTATATTTATTACCAAAATCAAGGTGGATTGTTGATGATTTGATTAATTAAAATAAAAATGTACAGAGCATGTGTCTAGTTTGTTGTGGTGTATGACAGTAAAATAAAAATTACATATGTTGATGATATGCGACATCTGGAGAAAATAGAAATCAGGTAGATTTTGGTGATAGTCTTAAAAACAAAACATCAAGTTGTGAGTATAGATAGAGGTAGGAAATAATAGTAATAACAGAATGTAAAGATAATTTAGCATCAAAATTTTTATTGATATAATTAAAGACACATTTAGGAAAACTTAAAATAAAGAGGTTAAAATTAATGAGTAGTACAAAATTGAAAGAAAAGTGACATAACTGTCAAACAGTGGCATTTTTATGCAGGAAAGTGCTCTTTGCCACAAATCAAAATGTCATGTGTTTTTACATGTCATGAGTTTTTAGCTGACAACAAAGTACACACTCCAGATTTGCCTGGCAATTTATTAGATATAAATTAAATAGAGAATTTGCGTAACATCAATTAGGGTAAACTCAGCCAGTTAAAACTAACAATGATAAAGCAGATAATTGAAATAGCCATTAGTGTGTTTCTTAGGGATTAAGGAATGATTGCTAATGGTAAAAAACTACTCACAAGCATACCAAACCATATTAGTAAATAACTTAAAGTAAAGGGAAGTTTCACCTATAATTAATTAATTTTATTGACAATAACAATTGTGCTAATTACAATTTTTTCATGTTAATGGATCTATCTTTTTTATATACAACACTTGGTAAAATAAAATGTTTATTAACACATTCTAATGTGTTAAGATAAATTTTTTTAATGTGCTAGGATAAATTTTTTTGATTAGAATTTTGACAAGCAAGGCTGCTAAACAAAAACTTGTTGAGCAATGATACCACAAAGATGTGATAGGATCTTCACACTAATTAGTAGGATGTGGTTCTATCTCTAGATTTGTTGCTTTGAATACAGAAGAAATATACTCCATATGACATTTTGCTACATTTCAGTTTTTATTTATGCAATCAGACTGTTTGATTTGTTTGAAATAGCATGTTTAATATTTGTGTGAACTAGTAGATTAAGTATGTTTAATATAAATAAAGTGATAATTTCTTATTTTTTCTGCTTTATATTTGTCAACTATAAAAAATACAAATGTTTAACCGACCATAATAACCATATAACCTTAACAAAAAAGTCTAGACTCTTAATCTAAAAAAAGTGTAAATGCATATGGAAATAAATAACCTATTACTTTATATATCCCTTTATTGTATATAAGATATGTATTATGCGTTTTATACATAGTAAGTATATAATTCAATATATCTTATATATTCAAGTATATACTCATTATGTTTCAATATACTATTATCACATCATATAATAATAATCACAATGATAAAATATTATTTAACTTACTATAAACAATGTATTTATTGCAGCTAACGTGTTTCTTGAGCATGTATAAGCGCAAGACTTAACTGCTTTTCTACCACTAACAAATTTCGAGGATTTTATTCGTGGCATTTTTCTTTTATATCTTTAATCATGAAAACTATATGAATTTATAAACAAGAAATATTTACTATCGTCGCTCCACCGTTGAAAGTTTCAACGTCAAGTCAACTTTTAATGTTTTGTTTCAAAGCTGACCTAAGCTACGACGAATATGACTGGCAAAATATCCTTAAAACTATTAATTTTTAATCATTTGATATTTTTTAACTTAAATTACGTTTTTTAATTATTTTTTAATTTTTAAAATTAAGGAATAATACGATCCTTTTTTTAGGTTTTTAACGCTTTAAGATATACCCCCCCTCCTCTACTACTCAAAGTGCTTCTAGAAATCCTACGGCCTTAGTACCGCGGAAGAGCATTTAAATAGAAAGTTCACGCCCCCTCCTCTAAAGCCGGCGGCGAACCACTGCGCCACGGCTGCGCGATGTTCATTACTTGTTGTTGTTGTTGCTGTTGTTGTTGTTGCTGTTGTTGTTGTTGCTGTTGTTGTTGTTGCTGTTGTTGTTGTTGCTGTTGTTGTTGTTGCTGTTGTTGTTGTTGCTGTTGTTGTTGTTGCTGTTGTTGTTGTTGCTGTTGTTGTTGTTGCTGTTGTTGTTGTTGCTGTTGTTGTTGTTGCTGTTGTTGTTGTTGCTGTTGTTGTTGTTGCTGTTGTTGTTGTTGCTGTTGTTGTTGTTGCTGTTGTTGTTGTTGTTGTGGTTGTTGTTGTTGTTGTTGTGGTTGTTGTTGTTGTTGTTGTTGTTGTTGTTGTTGTTGTTGTTGTTGTTGTTGTTGTTGTTGTGACAAGAAATGTTGTTGTTGTCAAAAACAACAACAACATTTCTTGTTGTTGTTGTTTTTGTTGTTGTTTTTGATGTTCTTTAATCAATACAGAAGTATTATAAATATATGTATAAAGAAAGTATAGCATATAATAATAATCCACAATTGTTGTAATATACAAAAACAAGTCATCATTATTTAAAGTGCACGGGAAACTTTGAGAAGACCGATGGTCTTGTCATCAAGAAACCGCTCTACATATATTTTGTATACTATCTTATACTATCGATAAATTCATATTTATAAACTAAATAATGTCCTCAGTTTACTGTCATTTTGGATAGCATAAAGATAAAAAGAATTTGAGAAATATAAAAAAGATGCGAAAAAAAAAAAAAACTTGCTTATCTTAAACAAACATTTTATTTGGATACACATAAATATGCTGGTACATAATTTACTATATTCAGAATATAGTTCACATACGTATAAATAAACATAATAAATGTATGCAGAACTTTTCTATCTATATTTTTTATAATTATGATAATATTTAAGGGTTTTTTAGTTTTAATTGATTTTACTCATTATTTTCTTGATTAATAAAAGTACATAAAATTATCTGTGTTAAAGATGAGATTTTAATAATATTTTACGAGAATTCAGATTATTCGATTTTGTAATTTTAATATTTTTGGATATTTCTTTGTTGTACAGATAAGAACAACGATATGAAAAACAGAACCGAGAGAGATTTATATTTTTTAATGGTAATTCAAGTTTTCTTCTCCTCTTGTGCGGTATCTATTTTTTTTTTTTTTTTTATTGTTGAGAAAAACAGTGAAAGAAATCCAAGTTTGTATCTTATCATTTGATCTTATCTCATCCTGTTTGTCATAAACATCAAAGTTTGAAATATTTTAATTTAATAGAAATGTAATGCTTTTAAGTAGTTCAGCGTGTAAAAATTTATGTAAACTAATCTTGCAGCATGCTTTTGATTTTGATAAACTGTGAATAATTTGGATTTTTGAGTACTTGCTCATACAATGTTAGCGCATATACATTAGCCTATATATATCAGGCCCGTAGGAACAAAAATTGTAATGGGGGAGGGGGTGGCAGTACTACCCCGAAATAGTTTTGAGGACCTTTTTTTTTAGTCATTTTTTCATTCAATTTCTTCAAAATTATTTATTTGAAAAATCATTAGGGGGAGGGGGGCAAATGACCCTGCTACTCCCCCCGGTTGCTTTAGGACTGCATATTAGCTTTGTGTAAAAGAGAAATAAAGAGGCATTAAATTTTTAGGGGACAGCTATGGACTTGCTTTTTATTTGCAATGTTTTTTGATATCTTGTTATTTAACATATTTATGTGCGTTTTCCATAAAATGTTCTCATCAATAAGTATACCAAGAAATTTTATTGCTTATTTTTTCTCCATTTCATTAATTTCTATTTTTAGCAAAGGTAATGTGAGTGAAATAATTTTTTAGTTGTAATGAAAAAGGATGTATTTAGTTTTTTCTGTGTTTAACGATAATTTATTTAATTTAAACCAATTGTTTAGTTTTTCAAGTTCAATGTTTGTAGTTTTCAAAAGTTCTGTAATAAATTTGGATGTATATAATAAATTAGTATCATTTGGAAAGATTATAAAATCCAATTTACTTGAGGCTTTTGGGAGGTCTTTAATGTTGTCCAACGCGTTAGACAAGTCAACAAAGATTTCAAGTAAATATTTTTTACTTTCAAAAGATGTTTAAATAGTAAAAGTAATTATTGAATAAATAAGATTTTGTTATTTGTTAGATATTTATACAATTTATTATAAATTACTCGCTTTAAAAATTATATAGGAAAATGCTTTTGAGGTGATTTTTAGAAAAGAATTAGTCAATATATTTTTTATAGCAGTAACGGAGATAGGGTTTACTCTGGTGGGTTTGTTGGTGACTTGAAGAATACATATCTGTAAATTGAAAAAAAAAAAAAAAATCTAACACAATAGGGGCTTGATTAAATTGTTGGCCATTTTATATGTTGCAAACACGATCTATTAAAATTTTCATTAAATAAAACTTTGATAATTACAAATTTTAGAGAAAGCTCGGTGGATAAATTTGTATATCTGCATTTGTATAAGAATAACTATTCATACAAAAACAAGTCATAAAACTTGTTTTTATATGTTTTTATATGTTTTAACTTGTTTTTATATGTGGCATTTGTTTGTATTTAATGTAGTTTTCAGTGATATGAGCATTGTAACCACATCATGTTGGATTATGTTGCTTAAGGAAATAAATGTTCTAAATGTATATGAACTGAATATAGTTTATGAAGTTTATATACTTGTTATACATAACTTGTTATTTATGCTTAAACTTCAAAATGAAATTTTAGTTTAAAGCATTTATTTCCTTAAGCAACTTGTTTTTTTTTTGTCTGTCTGTTTAAATTTTGTATATAAAATATAAGTAGATAAATTTAAATCTTGAAAATGTTTTGAATCTTCTTAAATTTTAAATCTCTTTTAAATATATATAAATATATATCACGTATTGTATTAAATATGTATATGTATAAATACCAATTTGTAAATTTTTATACTTACGTTATACCTTATAACGTAAATATAAAAGTTTACTTTTATTAAAAGTAAAATATGTACTTACCTGCGTTACGGTTATATTAAAGGTGAAGGAGAGTTTGAGTTTAAAAGTTAAATAAAAAGGTAAAAAAGCAATTGAAAGATAAAAAATGATAAATTGCTTTAAATTAAACTAACTCTATTCACTTAGACCACGCGACTAAACATTTTCATACATTTATAAAACTTACGGGAAACTTTTACTGTTCAAAAACGCGCGGTATACAGTCGGTTAATGGTTGGCTTAGAATACCGACAGTTAGACCAACTAAAGCGTGTTTACTGGGAACTGTGTATATAGTCATAAGTGGTTAAATAATATACAGTTTGTGATACTCATAAACTTTTTAGTTGTTTTCTACAGTTACTTATTGTTGGCCGTTGACAGAAATATAAATTTTTCAATTAACTTTTATGTTGATAAAATTAAAAGTTTTTGTTAATAAAATTGAAATATTTTGTCGATAAAGATGAAATATTTTATTAATTTAAAATGGTTAAATTTCAAAATCGGCAAGATGTTTTATATGTATGGTCCATATCTAATTTTTTCACGTACTTAATTAATATACAGTTTAAGTTACAAAAACACACGATGTGTTCCGCTTGTGGGCGGAAACTAATCAGCAGATTATATTTCAATAATAAATTAGACTAAAATGTCACACATTTAGCTGCAAGAAAAATAAGCGGAAAAAATATTCTAAAACTGCTGACAATTGGATTACTTGGGTTTCATATGAAACTTTTTAGCTACTGTTGGAAGGCAATGTAAAAATGCTAGACAATGAAATTAAAGAGGCTATCACCGTTTTATTTATCAGATTATGGTGGAGCATAGAACGAATACAGAACGAATAAGTTGAAAAGTTTATGAAAAGTTTTTGAATGTATATATGTATTTATCAATAAAATTATAAAGAAATGAAAAAAGTATAATATTTTGTTCTATTTTTTATAGATGATGTGTAGTTATGCATCTGTGTTCGTATAAGAACTTTCCATTACAATAGTGTGGCAATTTTTTTTTAAGTGTGCTTGTGAGCGGTATAAGAATCATAACTACACATGGATCTCACTAATACCTTAACATAAAGAGGGTGGTAAGTATATAATTGCCACATGCTTTCCATGCTTTTTCATGAAACTTATACGTAACAATATAGTGTGATGTTCGCTCTGATTTAGGGTGGTTTTAATGCTAAAAGTATTGTAGCCACCAATTGTCATCTCTACTTTACCTCTTTCCCCCGTCATCATTTTGAACCAAATATTTTTATTATTCACTGACATCTGGAATGCTTTGAATATTCCAACTTTTCCGTAAAATATACGTTTCTTCTCCTTTCTGGTCTAAATAGGGCTGAATATCTTCCTCTTTAGCATTCTTAGAATTACCACAATCCTGAACTACTTTCTGTTTAAAATTTGCTACAGAAATATCAGAGAGAGTGTTACTTTTCTCCAAAAACTCATTGTATCATAGGGAGGTTGCCAGAGCTAGAGTTCCAATTCAATTATTTGAGACAATTCAGCTCTGTGTACTTATTATGGAACTTCACCATTTTATCTCTCATAATAGAATTACTGTTGATAATATTTTGAAACCCTGCTTTCTTCCAAATATATATTACAATAGAAACAACACAACTCTGTTCAGGATTCTAGCAGCATAATTGCTGCTCCCTGTAGATTTATTAAATCTCTGCAGATCAGATCCCTGTTC